CGAATTTTCATATTTGAGCCAAAGGTTATTAGTAATCAACTGCCGATTATAAGTCGATTTATTATATTATTCGACCATCGATTAAAATGGCCGATTCAGCCTGAACTCAACTGTCGATTAATTAGCCGAATTTATACCGAATATTTTTAGCAATCGATTGTCAATTAACTACTGATTTTGACTTGTTATTCAGTATAAAATCAGCCAATAATCGACAGTCGAGTTCAGGCCGAATCGGCCATTTTAATCGGTGGTTGATTTTCTTATATTTGACTAGTGCAAAGTAATACAATATCTTAACTTATTAGTAACTACTATCAATCCAAGATTTAATGCACAAAACCTAATTGTTATTCTTGTCAAAAGCATTATAATAAGATATATAATAATTTACAAGACTATATCGATTTAATCAATAAGTTACAAAGACATACTTAATGTAGTTCTACATCTTGTCTTTATATAAATAAAGCCAGTCAACAATTCTGCAAATTCAGTTATTCAAAAAATATTAGTAACTGCATATTTTTGCAAGATAATAATTATAGAGAATCAGAACTTGTAACAGCAAGAAACAATTCGTATATTAATTTATATAGTTGAATTTAATTACAGAGTTGGATAGTGAATATAGATATAAAACCAATTTTAAGCATTTATGCAGCCTTGCAATATATTTCTTAATATGCAAGCAAGGCAGAATCATGTTTTATTACTTTTTTTGAAATACTTTTTTTTTTTTTTTTTTATTGTTTTATTTTAAAGCCAATGTTATCAGTAGCTACTGCCTTTATTTGTGTTTTTAGTCAATGCATTACATATAACTTGTACAAGGTAAGTGTGCAACTAGCCATATGTATAACTTTTGGTTACCTATTTAAGTAGTCCACCCAAGAGTTCTACACTAGCTGCCATGCCTGTAATCTATTAGAAGAGTACCTATTTAAATACTCTGATCTTTATACTACATTCAGACAAGTAACACCTGGTTCCTGTACAACTAAGTGCCATCTAACTCAACATTTAGCTTCCCTTTTTGTATATTTGTCAAGCTATTAAACATTCTAGAATACGTTACCTGACTGTAAGATTCTGGAGTACTCCTTTGTTAACTACCTTTTTACTTTACAGAATATTAACAAGGCTAGCCCTTGTAAAGTTTACTCAAACCCTAGCACCTACTTTATAGCATATTCCTAGTACTTATAGTATACCTCTGCTTTGACTCCAAACTTCCAATTCAGATAGCTTAGTAGGATTGTGACCTGTTTTTGATATATTGTGCCAGCCCAATATTCTTTTCCTTCAGTTCAGTTTTGGCAGCTTGGTTGGTGGTATCCCTTATCTGAGGTTCTTGCCTGTCTGGCTCCTTCACATTGGTATCTGTTTTTTAGATTTAGCCTTTACAGTAGTACTGTTAAAGATCTGTGTTATTTCTTTACTTGGGTTTTTCCAATAGGCTCCAGTTTCCCAGTTCTATAGATTTATATAACTACAAGGACTTATCTTAGGTTTGTACTGCCTAGTACCGGTTTGCATTCCTCTGTGTAACAAAGGTTACACAGATGCCTTGTAACCTGCCAGTCATGCTGGTGTGACCATAGTTACAGATATCCTATCCCAACTGATCAACAGAATGTCATTGCTATAATACCGTTTATGTATTACATAGATGATTATTCAAATTTTTACTTTTGGTGAATTTTGAACTTACAACCTACCACTTGAGAGGTTGACAACTTATTCACTTCACTAAGTTGCTACACCCCTTTTCTGAAATACTTAATAAAATTATATCTAATAGTAGGTCTAATGATTCAGTACTTCCAATAGCTCAAAGACTGCTTATATATAGTATTGCAGAACATAACATTTCAGCACAAAAGACTTACTATCTTCTTCTTAGTATCTCTTTTTATCACTCAAGTTGATTAATTATCTTCTTAAATTTAAACAAAAAAACATTATGATGGCTTCATAGCACTGATAGTAGTAAAGAAAAAGAAATTGTTTCTATTAAAAATATAGGAATAATATCACTATTATCTTTGAAAATGTATTGAGATCAACTATTAGAGTTTGAAGACTTTTTATTATTTTGTATCTATTTAACATATAAATATATAAATGGTTGTTAAAAAAAATATACAAAAGAAAATATTATATTCATATGGCTATGTCTGTTACTCTAATCTTATGACTCTTAATAGAAAAAGTTTTGTTATATTAAAGTTATTCTTCATGTTAAACATCGAAATATTCAGCAATTAACTAAAAATGATACTATACAGTGGTCAACTTTATATAGCTAACATCTTGAAAAGATTAATGCAGATCTAATAGATCTACTTGGTCTTTCAATAGAAGAAGTAGAAAATGTAAATACTAAAGATGATAATTCGAGTAAGGAAATTAAAGATGAGAAAGAAGAATTTCAACTTAATTGGATGCATCTGACAGAAATAAATTCAAACATAATCATTAATTACTTCTCTGAATTGGGATCTTATAATATAGACCTTAACTTTGATTGGATTAATGATGCAAAACAATACTACTCAAGTACTAATATTATAGATGTTGACACCTTTTTAAGATGTACTTCTAGTAGTTTTCGGGTAGAAAGAAACTCTAATATAGCTATAAATACTGTGAATTATGAAATGTTAAATAAAAACCAAAAAAAGGTTTTTATTTGAATAAAGACATATTATTAAAACATACTTTCTGGCAGTAATATCGAACCATTAAGGATTATTATTATGAAAATAGCAAGAACAGAAAAATCATATCTTATTAGAGCAATTCAAAAGCAGCTTCATAAAATGGTCAGAATTAAATCTGAACCACCCATACTTGTACTTGCATTAACAAAGGTTGCTATATACAACATTAACAGAGCAACTATTCACTCAACACTTTGTATTCTGATACAAAGTAATAATAATTTAGATATAAATAGTAAACAGTTAAAAAGGCTGCAAACAAAACTATAAAAAGTAAAATATTTAGTTTTTGATGAAAAAAGTATGATTAGATATCAAATGTTAAATTTGATTAATATAAGATTGAAACAAGCTTTTTCAAAACACAAAGATGTTCTATTTGATGGTTGATCTATTATTTTTTTTGGTAATTTTGGGCAGCTTCTACCTGTACTTGACCTTTCTATATATATTACTAATATTTTATAGAACCTATTATCTAATAAAGGTATTGTAGTCTATAGTAATTTTCTTGAAACATATAAGTTTAATGTTATTTAGTAACAATTTGAAGACTCTATAAACCAACAAAACTTTAGAAATATTTTTTTGAGATTGTGTAATAGTAAGTTTACTCTTAAAGATTAGAGAATGCTTACTATATGTATCAAAAAAAAATATACTAAAAGTGTATGTAATCAATTTTTGAGTACTATGTTCATTTTACCAAAATGGGCAAATGTTAATGCAATTAATTTAGAGAAGGTTGGATCTTTAAATTGTCTATTGCCAAAATCTTTGCTATGCATATTGGTGATTATAATTCCAAAATAGCAGACTCTGATGTTGTAAAAAGTCTTGAAGCTCAACTTTTATTAGCCAAAGGAGTGTGTGTTATATTAATGATAAACTTGTAAATAGAAGCTAGATTAGTAAATAAATTAATAAGAACTATTTATAACATTTTATATGAAGACAATGGACTATTATCTTTTCTTGTTGCTGTCTTTATTGCTTTTGATAATTACAAAAAGCCTACTATTACAACTTTAGATAGTGTCAAAGTTATGCCAATCATACCTATACAATGTATTTGAGAAAATAAACCTGATGTATTGTATTTACAAACACAGATCTCTGTTTGTCTTGCCTGGTTTATTACTATATATAAGAGTCAGAAGTTCACATTTCCAAAAACTGTAATAAATATTAGACATAAAAAGTTTGCTACTAGTCTTTTACTTATTGCAGTGTCTCAGATTTATGCTCTTACTGATTTTTTTTTTAAGCCTTTTAGTTTTGAAAAGCTTCAGTGAATTAAAAAATATAAAAGATTACAAGAAAAAAAACTTGAAGAAAAGCATTTAATAATTATAATATTTAAAGAATAAACCATATAACAATTAGTTTGTATTTAATAAAATTTTTTTGTATATTTAATAAAATTTTATAATCTATTTTTATTATAATCTAAAAAACATAAATTATATAATCAGTTTTTTGTGAAAATTTATATTAATTGTGATAATAATTACTTAAAAATCTATATGCACAATTACCTTAAGTATATAATAAACTTTAGCATGCAAGAATTCTATATTGATTCCAAATTTCTCAAAATCAACCTTTCTGAAATACTATTTCAATGACTTCACATATAGTTAGAGTTAGCATTTTGTTAATTATAAGTATATATTTTTAGCAAATTGTTATATGCATGATGTTTCATATCATAGAAATAGCTTTCAAGAAATTATACTGTAATCAGAATTCTATACCAGGTTTTAAAGATTAGAGTTGCAAAAAAGTAAAAAAAATTTGTGTCTTAAAATTATGTTTATCAAACAGCTTTTTATGCTCTAACAAAAAAAAATAAATAAATAAAATCTTTTGTTAAAACATTACTTTATTGTGATCTGCAAATTTATATAACTTTGATCAAATTTATAGATTATGATCTACTTATACAATATTTGATTATTGTCTAATTGCATAATTGTACAATAATATTTTAGTAAGAGCAAATATTGCTAACAAATATTATGTTTGTTACTTTGTTCCAGACAATAAAAATAATATATTTATAGTGAACTTTTAGCCAAAAAATGCACTTTACAATCTTGTAATTAGGAGACAATCAGGTGATCATACAGGTAAGCTGTGATCTAAAAACTTGATCAAAGATATATCAATTTGAAAATGATGATAAATCCTTAGTTAACTCTATTTAACCCAAGTTGAATATCAAAATTAGTTTAAAAATTAGGTTAATATCAATTAATATAGATTAAATATTTGGTAAAACCTAGTACAGATTTCTTATATGCTCAACTTTATGCACTAATAACAAGATGTTCTAAAAATAAAAAGAAGATATTTGAATAGATATAAAAAAATTCCAATAAAATTCAATATAAATTTACTTAGTATAACATTTAATAGTATTATTTGATAATTTTTTTATTAATACTTATTTGTTCTAAAAAATAAATAAATATTATTTAAAAATTAATGACTTTGGTTTAGATCTTATTTTTTTATTCTGTATCTTTAAAATGCTTTGCTAAATAATAAAATCTGATTTTATTTTTATTAATAATAAAACATTTATGTTGCATCTGCCAATTCATTACTACAAATAAATAAGTTAAATGGTGCATTTGATAAAATAATAATATTAAAAAATAAAAATGATTATATTTATTTTAATTATTAAATCAAGAGAGATTATAAGATCTTGTTCTATTCAATCCAAATCAAATCAAATCAAATGCAAATTCAAGTGCATTATTCTGAAGTTTGACTTAAGCAGAATGATTAAAAACTCACTTTTTAAAAAAGTTTAATAGAAAAATCAAAAGGTTTAATAAAATTGTATTGCATTATAAGACCATTTTTTAGGTTAATATTGATATTTAGGCTCAGGAATTACAAGATCAGATGTACTATTGCACAACCAAAAAAATTAAAATAAATGTTCATTTTACTAAAAATTGCCTATAATCCAAAAATTTATATAGAAAACTACCTTTAATGCATTATCAAAAAAATTTCCTTAAATGATTTTATTATGTTAATCTAATAATTAACTAAAAATGACCTAAATGTAATACTCTTGAAATAATTAAGATTTTGCAAACATTTTGTTAATTAGATATAAATGTTATTCCTATAATAATAATAAAAAATTTAATGATTTGATTTCTTATAATTACTGTTACTAATATAAAAAATCATTACATAATATGCAGAAAATTTTGATTGGTTATGCACTAATTATGCAATGCATGAATTCTATTTTTGTTACATGAATATACGAATTTAGGTATGTGGTGTTATATCTGGAAAATGTCAAAACTACTTTTTTGATATGTTTAATATAAATGAATCAAAAATGAATTTTTGGTTATCAAAAGGCTTTACTTCAAACAATTATTATTATTATTATTATTTTAAATTAAATTAGTCTCTTTGAAAGCTAAAGCTTTTTATTCAGTATTATAAAATAGAAACTTGCACCTGAAGTCTCAATAAAGCCATCTTTATATTAGAGAGTATGACTAATCTATATATACTTTTAGTATCTAATTTAAGTAATCTATTGATAATTCTATACTAGCTGCCATATCTGCAATCCAACTATAGATATTGCCTATTTAAACTCTCTATACTGCAATTCTTACTATGTTACTAAAATATCTCTAATATATATATATATAAATTTTATTGTTAACTATTTTATCCATATCGATATTTCGTATAATATTGAATTTACCATTAGAAAATCCGCAATTAGTAAAGATCATTAGTGACCCTATCTATGTTTGATTTTAATAGGCCCTAGTAAGACGTTTGTATGATTGGCTATTAATTTCAACTGAATTTTACATTATTTATTTAGGTTAAAGTACATTTACAAAAAACAAAACACAAAATAAAATAAAAGATCATATAAGCATGGTAACGACTTAACTTTTATTAAAAATGTTAGCATAGTAGCGATTTCTCAAAAACGGATAAAATAAAGCTATTACTATGCTAACTTTTTTAATTAAAGATACTTTTTAACAATAGAGTCCTACAACTCTAATAAAACATCCTATACATGTCCTTTTATTGTGTGTTGTTTTGTTTTCTTTAACCTGCATAAATAATGTAAAATTCAATTGAAATTAATAGCCAATCATGCAAAGGTCTCATTATGATTTTGGGTGTAGTGTAGTATTATTTAATTAATAATAGACTAAAGGCGTAATGCAAATATTTTAATTGTTAAAAAAGAGGATAAATGTCTTAAAGTTATTAATGTTTTTCTATGTGGCGGATGCAAATATAAATAGAGATAAGTGGGATTGCTCAAATAATATAGGGTGTCTTTATGTATACTAAAGGTAGTAACTTGTGAAAGTAATGATAAAATAGAATTTCTATTCAAATATATATATATATATATATATAGTTAAATATGTATAATTATTTATAAAGAATAGTATATAGCGATAGGCTTCGCTGATGTAAAGTTTACAAAATTTGGTTCATTTGATTAACACAAATTAGCCAATCATATCATCAGAACGAAATTCTTTGAATTTCTACTTTAGGGTATCCTAATTTGGTATGTATGCTAAACGTGTCACTGTAGAAAGTTTTGATTGGATCGACCTTTTTCTACACTTTTATAAAAATTTTAATTCAAAAAATAAACTTAACAAATAAAACGGACCGAACAACAAGTTGAAGTATTTTCCAAAATGGTTTGAATTTTAAATTTTCGATTTTTTTAATTCTCTGCCGATCATACAATTATCATGTACAGTAAACACATGAGCTCACGTAAAAATAGACAGATAATCAACTTAAATTAAAAATTTGCCACTTTTGTATTATATTACCACGTTTTTTATACCTTTGATTTGATTCACGATAATCACGTAATTGTAAAACTTTTAACATTGTCTTTCATCCTTGGAACCTATAGTCTCGCAACACTAATGCGAAAATGTCGACGAATTCAATAAAAATCTTTGCGGGAAATTCTCATATCGAGCTTGCTAGACTCGTCGCTAGGTAGGGATAATAACATAAACCTATATGTCATTTTTTGAGTTTAAATATTCCCGTCTAATCAGTCTGCATTAAGACGATTAGGTATCGAACTTTCAAGAGTAATGGTTTTAAAATATTCTAATCAAGAAACCTCTGTTACTATTGGAGAATCTGTTCGTGATGAAGACGTATTCATTATTCAATCTGGTTGTGGTGAAATAAACGATAATATAATGGAACTCTTGATCATGATCAATGCTTGTAAAACTGCATCTGCAAGAAGAATAACTGCTGTGATACCATGTTTTCCATATGCAAGACAAGATAAAAAAGATAAATCACGAGCTCCGATTTCTGCCAAATTAATTGCAAATATGATAACGGTAGCTGGTGCTAACCATGTTATAACCATGGATTTACATGCAAGTCAGATTCAAGGATTCTTTAATATACCAGTAGATAATTTGTATTGTGAACCATCAATGTTAAATTATATCAAAACCAATATACCTGAATGGAAGAATTCTATTATTGTTTCACCAGATGCTGGTGGTGCAAAAAGGTTGGTATTTTTTCATCAATGCGATTTATGATAGTTACTTGATAACTAGACTTTTTTTTTTTTCAGGGCAACTTCTATTGCAGATCGATTGAATCTTGATTTTGCATTGATTCATAAGGAACGCAAAAAAGCTAATGAAGTTTCACGTATGGTATTGGTTGGTGATGTTAGTGGAAAAATAGCGATCCTTGTTGATGACATGGCAGACACTTGTGGAACTTTAAAGATGGCAGCTGAGACACTTAAAGGACATGGTGCTACTAAAGTATATGCCATTGTAGCTCATGGAATTCTTTCAGGAAAGGCAATTGACGTTGTTAATGTTTCTTGTTTAGAGAGACTAGTAGTAACAAATACTATACCACACGAAGATAAAAAGAGCATTTGTACAAAACTTGACACTATTGATATATCGTCTACTTTAGCTGAAGGTAAATGTTTGCTTAATCTATTACCTCATTTCTTTGTAATTTGATGTTAACAAAGGTATTTTAATATAGCTATCCGGCGAACTCATAATGGAGAATCAGTATCATTTCTATTCTCCAATACTCCTGAGTAAAATAGAATATATTTCTTGGTAGATGCCAAATTATAAACCTTAAAATGAACAAAATAATTATTTACTCTTTATCCGTTTTTGTATCTCCTACTATATATGCTATAATATAAACATTTGTCTGCTTGGCTTTCACTTTCATTACTGTGAATTGTATAATTATCGTTTATTGTTATATTAATAATAGTGTGAAATACAACGTTTAGTGTTATACGTATTATTTACATTTTTTTTTTTTTTAAAAAAAAAAAAGTCCTAAACAGTGAAAAGCATGTGTTTTCAGAAGAAATACTTAATTTCTGTAAAGTTGTAAGAGTAGATCCACACTTTATACTAAATCAACACTGTTTATACAATGTTACTAGGTCGCCTCATTATTCAACTAGTTGAACTTCGTTGATGTTAGAATAAAAGTCTTCACCAAAATATTTATCCATTAAGCGAGTAGATGTGTCACGCAGTGACGGTTCTTCCAGCAATGTAACTGACTCTAACGCATCGATACCATGCATCTGCTCAATGAGTTGTTGGCCCTAAAAGAAAAAATATTTTTTAAGTTAAAACAAATAAAAAGATTAATGAAAAATAAGGAAACTCTTACATTTTGTACTTGAGTTAATAGCAATTCAATGTATCCTAATCCCAAACGTATCAAATCCATATCTTGAGAACGAACGAATTCTAGAAATCCTATTTATTCATTTAAAGTTGTTATCTCACGCAACAGAAAGCAATTAATATACTATAATGTACATTTTTTACCTGGTAAAAGATCCTGATGAGGTAAAGATCTCATATATTCTTCTCCATGTGAAGCAATGTTTAGCAAACTATATGCGGCCTGTAATAATGTGACATGAAATTATTAAGCACAAATGTCAGTTTACATGACAAAAAAAATAGACAAAAACAAACCTCCTTACGAATGTCAAAATTGGTATGCGTAGCAATAGTTGAGAGAATTGGAATAAATCCAGCATTAAATACTTTGATCAAAACTTCTGGACGACGACTATAGAATATAAGAATAAATGGCGGATAAATGCCTTAGATATATCCATATATATATATATATATTTAGAACAAAAGGAAAATACTTACGTTGCTGTAATATTGGACATGACCCATAAACTTTCCTTTTTGACGGGTCTATAAGAAATGTGTCGTGTGCATGGTAAATTGTTTGAGATAAACATTTTAATCCATGCGAATATTTAAAACAAATAATAACGATGATGACCTGCAATCGCTTTGAATATATTCGAGCATAGCAGGTAAAAAGTCAGGCTGCTGAATCAAAATGTCAGTATTGTCATCCGGTCCACTGGCAATGTTACCGAATGTACGAATCAATGGAAGTGCTAGAGGACCATGATTAAAAGGGCGCATATGCTTTACCTAATCATTAAGAAAACAAATATTTTTCTTTATGTCAATTTTTAACTTATAAAAAGTCTTTAAAACTTATTGCAAATAACATACTAGGAGTGGTACGATTCCTTCTTTCAACAATATTTGTGTATATTTGTCATCATCTGAGCTGGTCAAGTACGTTAATACCCAAGAAATCTCAGAGACAACTTCATTCATCTGTTAATTCTAAAAGTTTAAAATGAAATAGACATAAACCATGTAAAACATAAAAAATTATTACACACTTCCTCAGCTCCTAGATAAAACAAAAGATGCTGAGTTATGCCCGCTGAGAAAAATTCATCCAAGTTTGCATTTGGGCCACGTGCAAGATTGGAAAGTGCAAAACATATTGTCTGAGCAAGGGTCACATTCTAGTTTAGTAAATCAGATAATGTCGAAGTTTATTATTAGTATTGAAATATTAGATATTCATTTCAATGAATAATACCTTGGAGTTAAGCAATTCAATTAAAGGAACCAAGACTCCGTTTGCACGAAGTAAATCTCGACATTCAGGTGCTTCTGCTGCGAGATTGCCAATTGCCCAGGCAGCTTGATCTTGTAACGACTTTGAATAAAGGATATCAAAACATAAGATTTGGACGGGTTGTGAGATTGAGGTGTTAATCAATATGACTTACAATAGTTTCACCACGAAGAAAGGCAATTAAATGTGGGATTGCTGTAAACGCTTTTTGACAAAATTCCTTGGGACCCGCGGCAATATCTTTCAATTATAATTTAAAGGAATTTAATACATTGATTAATCGAATAATGATTAGTACAGATTTATTATACATATAGAAAAAACATACTTGTGATACACCAAGTTGCTTGTAACTGTTCATCTGGATCAGTACCTGATAAGAATTTCTGATAATATGTAAATATATACAATGTATCGTAACAATTCTCTAGTTTACTAAAGTAATTAAATGAAAAGCAAATAAAAACATACTATCAGAATATCGATACAGTTATCATTTACAACAAAATGTCTCAAGGTGTCTGGAGGATCCGCAAGGTATGTGCACAAGTCTTTAAGACTTGAAAGGCGTGATTCACGATTTGAATCCTGTTAATTTGATATCACGTGATCAAGACTGTCATTGTCATTCTTTTATTAATAAAATAAAAACTTTAAATAAAATAACTATACTAACATTTAAGCCAGATTTCAACCTTTCAATGTCTTGATGAGTCAGATCAAATTCGGATTCTACAAAGTGTAAAATTTTTTAACACGTAAATCGCTAAAATCTTCGTAATTTAGGAAAATTTGAAAACTCGTGATATTAATACCAGCATCATCGTCTTTGTAAGCATCCAAATTATGTTTAATTCGCTTAGCAGTAATAAGCTGCTCACGATGTTTTCTTCGAGCTTGCGCGTCAAGCTCGATACGTTTTTGTCTAGCTTCATCAGGACTCTTGGATATACTGTTACGCTTATACTTTGCCTTGTGAATTACCGTTGGCGGAGGAGGAGTTGGTTGTGTCAATTTTGGTGGACTTGAAGATTGAAACATGAATATTTCCCCATTATTGTGATTTGCATTTGTGAAATCCATGATCGCTAAAAGAGTGCGCAGCGTGAGAAAAAATAGTGGCGTGATAAATCTCTATTTATATGAATTCGCGTGATATATTTGGAAAATATTTCTCTTCCTTTAAAATTACATATCCGCATGTGATCTTTAACGTTATTTCGAATAATATGTTAATAGAACCAAAACATTTTTATTTTTTAATAAAATAATTCAAAATTTAACAGGCATAGGTAAAATTTTAATAAAAAAAAAGGGTATTGTTAAATGCCCCATGAATTTGGTGTATCCCTTCTAAGGGAGAGTCGGGTATTCTGGCGCACCTAAGCTGCGCTTGGCAATTAAAATTTTATAAATTAAAATTTATTTCTAAAATTCATTTAACCAACTAATTTAACGCTTGACTATCCAATAAAGAAAAAAAAAAAGGGTATTATTACTAAAAAAAAATTGTTTATTGCAACTTTTATGAAAACGATTTTTTAGTCGTTAGTTTATTAGGTGGGGGATTGTGGCGCACTTACAAATAGTAAGATATTCATACTGCATAAGTTACATAGTTGATATTTTTTATACGAATGCGTCAATATGGAACTTATTAACATCCGATATTAATGATCTGTTATACGATATTAATGATCTGTTATACATTATTAACAGTAACATTAATTTTTTTTTTTTACGTAAACGTTCCTCTTTTTTTTGCTCTAGTTCAATTTTTTTTAATGCTTTTTTAGCTTCCTGATCAGCTCGTTTCCGGGTTGCTGTTTTTTTTTTTTGCTTTACACTTTCTATTTTTTTTTTGCTAACTCGTTCATTTCTTTTAATTGTTGTAGATTTTCTTTATTAGTGAGAAGGCAAGCAAACAGGAAGTTTTTTTTTTTTTTAATTGAACAGATTTTAATTTGATTTGTATTAGAACTCTTGAAGAAGAATATTTAAGAGATATTTTTAATGTGCAAGCATCAGGATTTTTAAATGTTTCAAGTTCTTTTTGTGTTGATTGATAAGATCATTTTATGGTCTTATTTTCTTTTTTAAAGAATTAATTTTTGTTAAAAGTTCATTTATACTAGTAACATTAATCCAAGTAAAATTATTTGAATAGGATAAAATTTTAGAATAATTATTTAATTAAGAGAATGATATAGTATTTAGTAAAGATATTTCTTGTTTAACTTGTACAGATAATTCTTATTCAACTTGTACAAATGAAAATAAATTATCAATTTGTTTAACTTGTATGAATGAAGGTAAATTAATGATTTATTCAGTTGATAGAAAAGAATTAAGATAATCTGGGTTTATAGTATTAGGATTAAAAGATCAAATCCTTGTTATTCTATAATCATTAATAATTGCTTCAGAAGTATAAGTCTTGATAAATGTTGATTCAAATATTTTCACAAATATATATTTAATTATTAGTTCACTAGTTTCACTATAAAGTTTGTTACAACCTTTATCATATTCAGTTTTAAGTTTAGCAAAGGGTAGCTTAGACAGCTAAAGAATATAAGTAATATGAAGTAGAGTACATAAAATAAAATTCCATTTTCATAACAAAAGTTAATATTCATATAATTTACATGATTTTTATATCCATCTAGTATTAAAAGAATAGGTTAACTAGGTGGAATAGAATTGATAAAGTATTCAATATACATTTGAAAAAGACTTTCATACATATATTCTAAATCAGTAAATCTTATAATAGTGCCAACTAAAACATTATTTAACAAATCTGAAATTGCATAAATGTCTTTATAAATAAATAATAGAGAGATGTAACTATTAGCAACTGAAATTATTAGAGCAATAGAGATGTATTCATCGAAATTGTTATATACTATTTTATAAACTTGATAGAAACTTTTAGTAACAAGAAGTTTTTGAACTTTAGAAAATATAATAAACCTGATTTCATTCATATTTGAAATTCATTCAGCAGTAAAATAATTTTCTTGAATTATTATTTGAAGCTTATCCAAATGGTCTTTTATAATAATTGAATTTGCCTTTTATGCATATAAGCTTGAGATACACAAATGATAAATCAGGATGGTTTTTCAAAAAATGTAACTATCAGGCCTTGCCAGATCTACTGTTTTTAAAAAAATGACTTTAATTGTCAGCATTTACAATACTCATTATGCAGTAGTTTAATTCTGTTCATATAAGTTCAAATCCTAATTTTGCATATTTTTACAATATTTAACTAATTGTTATTTTCATATTTACTTAAAACTTTGAGGATCAGGGTAGTTGAGCATGCTATTATTTTTTATATGTTGTAAACTTGTTTCAGCAACTTTAAATTTTAATGCAGTTGTTTGTACTCTAGGTTGGTTAGGACTATTAAGTATCTCAAGAACTGATTTAATAAATTTTATAAATGTAGTTTGTTTTTTTTAAGACTTGAGCTTAGATGAAATTTTAAAATTTATTTTATTGGGGTGTGGCGACCTAGTGAAGTGGTCAGGTTGTCAACTCTCAAGTGGCAGGTCTAGAGTTTAAATCCCATGAATGATGAATTTTGGAAAATAAGATCTGTGTTATGATAACTGTCTCTGTCGATCAGTTGGATTTGTATATCTGTAACCTTTGTTGCACTATCTTGAATAGGAGCTCAGAGCATCTATGCAAAGTATAACATTACACCCACATTGAGGAATGTTAATAACCGGTGTTGCATAAAACTTCAGTGCAAACCCACAATAAGACCACCAGGCATAGAAAGCAAAGGAATTGAAGAGTCAAAAACCCATTTGGAAATCCTGAGTAAAGAGGTAGCATGGACTTTCAACGGTACTACTGAACTATTGAAAGCCTCCAAAAAAGGATTACTAAGACCTCAGATAGATCGGACGATAACATGTATAGAGGAGCACATACTAACCAGGCTACTAGGTTTGCCAGATGGGCCATCTAAATTGGTAGTTTGGGAAGTCTTGTGGGTCTTGTAGGTTCAGAAGTAGGGGTATAGAAGTTAGGAAAAGAAGGTATCAGAGTCCCTATGAACTTTACAAAGGTATAGTGATTTAATGATTAGCCCTAACTGCAAGTGATAGTCTAGGCCAAAGCGGTACTAGGTCAGCTGTAAGTATGAGATACAGAAGACTCTGGTAGGCTTAGTATAAAGTTAAACATGACTTAGTGACCATAGTATATTTGCAGCAATAGCTGCAGTTGATAGAGTAGAGGTGGATACGAGAACTAGAGTATTTAAATAGAGAACCCACAGGCAGGTTCTAGGTATGACAACTAGTGTAGAACCTTTGGGCAGACTACTTAAAATAGACAATGACTAAAGTTGTATGAGTGGCTAGTTGTATACTCTTTTCATGATTGCCTTTGTAGCTGTTGTACACAATAATTATATGCTAACTGATTATCAATAAACTCCTGAGTCACAATTACTTGCCTTAATATTAAAAAAAAAAAAAAATTTATTTTATTTTATTTATTTTTTTTTAATCAATAATTTATATAATTTTTATACTACACTTATGACTATAATTATGATTAATTCAAGAAATATTATTTTATTGTCTTAATTATAATTGTAATTGTTTTTTATATAGAGCTTTTGTATACAATCATAATTGTGATTAAAACAAAATAATTTTTTTAATATCATAATTTTTTACATATAATAATGATTATAATTTTTTTTGACTTTTTGTATAAAATCACAATTATGATAGTGTTACAGTACCATGACCTTCTTAACAGCAGTACTATAACAACAACATGGCTACAGGGATCCTTTATAGGTTTATAGCAGTGTCTAAGAGGTAAGTATAATTCCTTAGTCTGTAAGAAACTATATCCTTCTCTCTAAGGCAGTTTGGTAAAACAAGAGATGATAGTTTATACTTTAAACAAAGATAACAAGCCTTGCCTGTA